TGGAAGTGTTGATCAGAGATAACAGGCCATCATTTACCAGCAGGGAATTTGAGCACTTACTAAAGTTAAATAGTATTTGTCATATAAGAACAACTCCATACCATCCATCATCCAGTGGTCTGCTAGAAAGAGCAGTCCAAATTTTGAAGGCAGCCCTAAAGGAACAGCCTACAGCTTCACTAGATACCAAACTGTCCAGGTTCCTATTTGATTGTAGGACCACCCCTCATGCAACTATAGGGATAGCTCCAGTAGGGTTGCTAATGGGAGAAGACTCAGCACCAAGCTAAATCTGATCTTTTCGAACCTGGGGGTTGCTGGTGGTGTGAAACAGCATCAGGAACACCGGTGCCTGATACAAGACTCTGTCAAGTAAAAGGCACTGCAACAGGCAAACTAATGTGCATCACACACCGCCTATATCTGAGCAGAATCAGAGGAACCTGATTGAGTGCTAAAATGCCCCGGGAGGAGCTAAAAAATAAAGAACTGGCCCATGTCCTCAGTCTCAGAGGGGGAAAGATGTTTTGATTGTGACAAAGTCAGCCAGGTGGTCCTCATAAAATATGAGCTCCCTGATTGGGCCTGCTATCGTGGTCCAATCAGGAAGCCCTGGCTGACACGTATAAACAGGCGTGTCAGACATGCTGTCACCCTAACAGCCGGCTCTGAAGGAGCTGGATCAGTGTGAAGGACTTTCCACGTGTAAAATAGGGGTGACTTGTTGATGGAACACTGGGCTCTGTGCAGCTATTTCACACCCTCTCAGTATTTTACCCTTTTGTTTAAACAATACTGTTCTTTTCTTCTCCCTTCCAAAATGCGGAACTTCACATTTTCCTATATTGTACTCCATTTGGCAACTTTTTGCCCAATTACTTTACCTATCAATATCTCTCTGTAAACTGTGTCCTTCTCACCACTTGCTTTTCCATCTATTTTTGTGTCATCTGCAAACTTGGCTACAGTACATTCACTTCCTTCTTCCACGTCATTAATATATATTGTAAACAGCTGTGGGTCTCAGCACTGATCCCTGTGGAACACCACTAGTTACAGCTCGCCAATTTGAAAAAGAACCCCTTTCCCCACTGATGTTTCCTGCCCATTAGGCAAATCTCTTCCATTTCAATATACTACATCCAACCCCATGGTTAACAACTTAACCTTTCATGAGGTACTTTGCAACATATCTATTAGTTCCCCTCGATTCAGTCTGGTTCAGACGTCCTCGAAAATCTCTCATAAATTAGTCAGCTATAGTTCCCTTTATGCTTTCCTTAATAATTGATTCCAATATTTTTCCAATAATAGATATTAGGATAATTGGCCTATAATTACTCACTTTTTGCCTCAGTCCCTTTTCGAATAGGGATGTCACATTGTCAGTTTTCCAATCCTCTGCTACTTCTCCAGATTCCAAGGGCTTTTGGAAAATTACAACTAATACATCCACTGTGTCTGTAGCTTTTTCTTTTACTTTTTTGCCTTTAGCCCTATTAGTTTGCCTAATACTCGTTCTTTAATGATGGTGATGGTACTTAATTCCTCCCTGTGTTCTTTAGTATTAATGGTATGTTTGAAGTATATTCCACTGTAAGGACTGATACAAAACAGCCTCCAACCTCATCATCCACCAACCCTGCACCGCCCATTCTTATCTACTTCCCAAAAACCACGAACCCAACTGCCCCGGCCGACCCATTGTCTCTGCCTGCTCCTGCCCCACTGAACTTATCTCCGCTTACCTTGACTCTATTTTCTCCCCCTCGGTCCAGGAACTCCCACCCACGTCTGGGACACCACCCACACCCTCCACCTCCTCCAAGACTGCCAGTTTCCTGGCCCCCAACACCTCATCTTCTCTATGGACATCCAATCCCTGTACACTTGCATTCCCAATGCGGATGGCCTAAAAGCCCTCCGCTTCTTCCTCTCCTGCAGGCCCAATCAGTCCCCCTGCACCGACACCCTCATCCACTTAACTGAACTCGCCCTTACCCTTAACAACTTCTACTTCAACTCCTTCCACTTCCTATAGACAGATGGGAACCTGCATGGGCCCAAGGTATGCCTGCTTCTGTAGGATACGTGGAACAGTTCCTCTTCCACATCTACACTTGCACTATCCCCCACTACATCGATGACTATGTCAGTGCTGCCTCATGCTCCCACGAGGAGCTTGAATAGTTCATCAACTTTATTAACACTTTACACCCCAACCTTAAGTTCACCTGGACCATCTCTGATACCTCTCTCTCCTTCCTGGACCTCTCTGTCTCCATCTCCAGTGACCGCCTCAAAACCGATATCTATTTCAAGCCCACCGACTCCCACAGTTACCTAAACTACACCTCTTCTCAACCACCTTCCTGCAAGAATGCCATCCCTACTTCTAATTCTTCCGCCTCTGCCATGTCTGCTCCTAAGGTGGGGTGTTCCACTCCCAAACATCCCAGGTCTCCTCTTATTTCAAGGACCGCAACCTCCCCCCACCACCTTCAGTGGTTGAAAATGCTCTCGACCACATCTCTTGCATTTCCTGCACCTCTGCCCTCACATCCCCTCCCTGCAACAAAAACAAAGACAGAATCCCCCTTGTCCTCATGTATCACCCCTCTAACCTCTCGATTCAACGTATCATTCTCCGCCACTTTCACCACCTGCAATCTGACCCCACAACCAAGGATGTATTTCCCTCCCCACCCCTATCTGCCTTCTGAAGGGACTGCTCCGTCTGCAACTCGCTTGTCCGCTCCACACTCTCCACTAGCCCCACCATCCCTGGCACCTTTCCCTGCAATTGCAGGAAGTGCTACACTGCCCCTACACCTCCCCACTCACCTCCATCCAAGGAACCAAAAGACCTTCCACAGCAAACAGAGGTTCACCTGCACATCTGCCAATGTGGTTTACTGCATCCGTTGCTCCCGATGTGGCCTCCTCTACATTGGTGAGACCAAGCGGAGGCTCGGAGACCGCTTTGTATAGCACCTGCGCTCTGTTCGCAACAAATGACAACACCTTCCAGTCGCGAACCATTTCAACTCCCCCTCCCACTACCTGGATGACATGTCCATCTTGGGCCTCCTCCAGTGTCACAATGACGCCGCCCAGAAACTGAAGGAACAGCACCTCATTTTCCACCTTGGGAGCCTGCAATCCAATGGTCTCAATGTGTTCTTTGAGACAGTAGGAACTGCCGATGCTGGAGTCTGAGATAACAAGGTATGGAGCTGGATGAACACAGCAGGCCAGGCAGCATCAGAGGAGCAGGAAAGCTGACGTTTTGGGTCCAGACCTTGTTATCAATGTGGACTTTACCAGTTTCAAAATCTCCCCACCCCTGGCCTCATCCCATGACCAACCCTCCCTCTCATCCCCACCTCCTTGACCTGACACAACCTGTCCACCTTCTCACCAACCTATCCGCTCCTCCCACCTCACTGACCAATCCCCACCACTCCCTACCTGCACTCACATATCAGCGTCCCACCTACCTTCCCCAGCCTCAACCCTCCTCTCTCTATTTATTTCAGAGCTCCCTTCCCCCTCCCCCATTTCTGAAGAAGGGTCTGACCCAAAATGTCAACTTTCCTGTTCCTCTGATGCTGCCTGACCTGCTGTGTTCTTCCAGCTCCATACTGCGTTATCTCAAAATATTTGTTTAACTCCTTTGCCATTTCCTTGATTCCCATAACTATTTGCCCAGATTTATTTTCTCAGGGCCTATGTTTACTTTGACCTCTGTCTTCTTTTTATTTTTAAAGAAACTCCTATTGTCAGATTTTATTATTCCTTACTAGTTTGCTGTTGCAGCTTATTTTCTCTCTCTTTATTATCTTTTTCATCCTCCTTTGCTGGATTCTGAATTTGTCCCAGTCTTTGGGGCTATCATAGACTTTTTGCCTCCTTCTATGATTTTTCTTTCAATTCAGTACTCCCATTAACTTCCTTGGTTAGCCATGGTTGGTTTATCCCTCTTAAAATCTTTCCTCCTCACTGGATATATTTTTGCTGAGAGTCATGAATTACCTCCTTAAATTCAAGGCTGAGGTAGACAGATTTTTAGTGTGGAAAGGAATCAGGGGTCGGGGGAAAAGGCAGGAAAATGGAGTTGAAAATGATCAGATCAGACATGAACTCATTGAATGGTGGAGCAGACTCGATAGGCTGCAATGCTTACTTCTCGTGGCGTCAGGGGAGTTATATGTTGATGACCCAGGACGATGAAGGAACTGCACGATCTGTGTTCCGTTCAGCATAGTATGTGAGATAAAGGTGCCGTATGACGCTGCCAGCGACAGGGTTTGCTGTGGGAGTAAATTTAGTGCATTGATGCAGAGCCTCATTTTGATAATAGATGCCACCGGAATAAGAGGAGCGATCTCCAGTTCTTCCTGTTATTCGTGTGCAGAATTTGTCCACATCCTCCACGCAGATCACTCCCTTCTCCTTTCTCCTTCCCTGCTGTCTCCCCGGATCTTGGTTTGCTGCTGCCAACCCTTTGCCTTTCCTCAATGCAACAGGGCATCAACCTGGAAAGTTAACTCTGTCTAATTTCTCCAGAGATGCTACTGCCATTCGGCAGCTGGTGGCATTTAAGATGAGTTGACAAAGAGACGTTGTTCTCATATATGAAAGGATTAGGAATGAGAAGGTATAGACTTAAAATAATTGGCAAAAAAAGCAAAAGTGATATGAGGAAAAACACTTTCACGCACCAAGTGGTTAATACACAGCCTGAGAGTGTGCTTAAGGCTGGGTTAATTGAGCTATTTGAAATGGAATTAGACTGTTACCTGAAAAGGAAGTATGTGCAGAGTTATGGGGAGATGACAGGAGAATGGCACCATATGAATTGCTCATTAGGAGAGCAAGAATGGCTGATGGTCTCCTGTGCTGTGCCAATTTTGTGATTCTGTAATCTGCTGAACATTTCCTGGCTTTCCACTTTTTCTTCCTTTCAACGTTTTTCTTTGCTTCTTGTCCCATTTCAGACTAGTAGAGGATTCTCAAATAGAACCTCTTCAGACTCACTGAACAGAGATCTCTATCTACAGACAAGCGACAAGCACAATATGGTAAGGGTGTTTGTGGATTAACCCTTGAGATAAGGCTGACACTGGCCAGTTGAAAATGGCACTTACTGATCACCGGCTGCTTTATTGCTGCAGCAGTTTCTGTTTTCAATTGAATTGGAAATGTTGACAAAATTTTAAAGTTCAAATCAACTCTAAGTCTCGAAATGAGTCTCAGAAATGATCAGCCTGTCAGTATCAAGAAAGGAAGATCAAGCAGTAATAAATCAGCAGTCCATTTGTTAAAAGCTAGTTTCATTTCTCTGTGTGGACTAGTTTGCTCTTCTGCTAAATATTGGAGTTGAGGTGTGAGTTTTCCAAACACTGAATTCTAAAGCCATTTATAGACTGCATCAGAATGATTTCTTGCACAACAGAATTCTCCAGAACCTGACTGCAAACTGCTTATTCCTTTGCCCTGTTAAAGTTGCTGGCTGGTTTTTGTTGTTTAGTTAATGGTTCTGAAAGGGTTAATGACAAAGACTGCATTAAGCTCCGCCCAGTTTCATCTTAGAATATCATAGACTGCAGACCTATGACCACACATTAAGAATGTCTGAGTATTAATGTAACTTGTACCAAATTACTATCATGCAATAAACTGCATCTCGTTAAAACAAGAGCCACTTGTTGGTAAAACTCAATAGTGGTTGATCCCTCATCACTGTAAGTCCACAAAAGCCTTAAGATCCAATCAAGGAAAGGGGACTGGTAGCAGCATCCTCTTATGCTTAAATGCCATAGATTTCTGTTGATGGCATGGAGTGTTCATTCCAATTGGCTAACATGTTGTCAGTGCTAGCTCCTCTGTCTGTGCAATGATGTGCGTGCTTCTCTGACGTTGACATCCATTGTTTTCACGTGTTATTCCCTGTTTTAACCATTAACACATGAATAGTGGCTAAGGAAATAAATCATACCCACCAATCAAAAATACCCACTCCTGGCATTTCATCAAAGTTAAAAACTGTAAAACTGGGTGAAGTTCACAATGTGAGTATGAATATTGAGATCACCTCCTGCAGTAGTGGCCTGTTTGTCCTTCACTAACAGACAGTGTCTATCGGTAATGTCAAATACAATTAGCTCCATTTGCAGTCACTAGAAGAAGCTAAGAAATGGAAAAATAAATAACTGTCCTGTTCTCCAAACCATTATAAAACTTGTTTTCTTTTTGCTCCATTACAGTCAGATCGAGGATTCTCAAATAGAATGTCCTTGAACTCACTAAGTAGAGATATTTATCTGCAGGCAACTGATAACAATGATAAGGTAAGAGAATTTTTATGTTTGTTCTTGGAATTTGATTGACACTAACAAGGTTGCATTAGAAACGTAGAAACAGAAGGAGGTCAAGCAGCCCTTTTAGTCTATTCCACTAAACAGCTGGTTATTGCTGGTCTTTAAAACTCCAAAAACCTGCCCTTGCCCCTTATCCCTTAATAGCTTTGCTTAACAAATAACTGTTCATCTCAGGTATAAAATTAACAATTGATTTCACATTAAATCAGTTAAATAGTTCAGTTCTGAAGAAGAGTCATAGCGGATTCGAAACATTTGCTTCATTTCAACACAGATACTGCCAAATCTGCTGAGTTTCTTCAGCATTCTCTGTGGTCATTTCAGATTTCCAGAATCCACAGTATTTTGCCTTTATTGGAGCCCACAAGACTGATGGCTGACCTTTTTATTCGTTCATGGGATGTGGGTGCCATTGGCTAGGCCAGCATTTACTACCCACCCCTAATTGCCCAGAGGGCAGTTAAGAGTCCGCCACATTGCTGAGGGCCTGCAGTCACCTCTTTGCGAGACTGGTAAGGATGGCAGATTTCTTTCCCCAGAGGGCATAAGTGAACCAGATGAGGTTTTGCAACAATTGAAAATGGTTACATGGTCACCATTAGGCCAGCCTTTTTCATTCCAGATTTTTATGCAATTTTCATTTCGCCCAGGATTGAACAAATGAATCTAGAACATTAGCCTGGGTTTTTGGATTACCTTGCCCAGTGATGCTACCGTTACTCCTCCATGTTCCTTAATCATTGAAACATATAAGACCTTGACCAACTGGGTGGGAATGGATATCAGGAAGATGATTCTTCTGGTGAAGGAGACTAGAACTAGAAGATACATTTTAAAAATAAAAGAGGTCTCTTTGACACCGAGATCAAGAGAGTTTTTTTCTCTCGAAAGGCCAGTACCGGTGTGAAATTCAGTCATCCAGAAGGCACAGGAGGCCGGATATTTAAAATTATCCAAGACTGAGTTAGATACATTTTTGGTAAAGGAGTTGAGGGTAATTGGGAGCAGAAGGAAAGTGAAGAGAGATTACAAATAGATCATTTATTGCATTATTGGAGCAGGCTCAAAAGCTAAACGGCCTGTTCTTCTTAAGTCCTGTATTCCTATGAGTTATTTGTTATATTTTATTTGCATTTAATATGTTTGCTTGAGTTAAATTCCACCTTAGAGAGCTATTATAATAAGATGATACAGTTATTAGGGGTCACCTGCTAGAGGTAAGGCCTTCTGAGTCTCCAAGTCTTTGACTTAAATGTAAAAATATGACAGAAAGATGGTAATTCCTTGAGGGGGAAAAGAAAGGCCAGGAAGACTCTGATTGATTGGCTGGTATTTTTGTGGGCTGTGAAAGGATTTGTGGGGTTTGAGTCTCATTGAGAGATTGGGTGTGGCAATCGAGGTGAGATACAAAAGTTGTCCATTTTCTCCTCAGCATTGGTAGCTTTTAATATCCCTGTTGGAACCATGGTGTTGAATTTTTCATTGAGGCCCTTGCTCTCAAGCACTCCCTAGAAACTACTCGCACCAGGCCGCCTGCTCTCTGTCACATCTCCTCCATGAGCTACACATTTTATATAAAAGAAATGCAGCTTGGCTTGTACTGAGCTGGTCTAGTGGAAATCAATTGGCTGTCCATTGCTAATTACCCTGAATAGGGTTTGCTAGGCTGCTTCTTTGAACTGCGACAGTCCGAGTGGGTGTTGGTGGATTCACCCTGGTGTTTGGAGTGATAACGGAGGAGCTGTGCGATACATTTCCAAATCAGGACGGTGATAACTCAGAAACTAATTCAAAGGCAATCGTGCTGTTGTGATTTCTGTGAATGAGGTTGCAAGGCTGGGAGGTACTCTGGGAGTGAGTTTGATAAAGTATGCATCGTCTCCTGCAGACAGTATAGCAGACAACAGCACCATTAACTACAGGCACTAATTTGAGTTAAAACTCCTGTGAACCAATATAAACAGCATGTCTCACTATTAAGTGTGAAACCCCTGCAATCGTTCATCTTTCTTAAAAGTTTCAAACTGCTCCTAGTTTTGTGCCTAGACTTCATCAGTGTGATTTCTGGGAATGCTGTCATATGCAATGAGAATCTGCAGGCCCTGCAGTCCACTCTTCATCGAGAACCTTTTTTGGATGCTGCTTGTCCTTTGCCCTGTTGGCTCTGCTTGCTCTTAGTTGTTGGAAGAAGCTATGAAGTGAAAACATAAATAGACTGTTCTCCAAACATTTAAAATACTTATTTGCTTCCTGTCCCATTACAGACAATTCGAGGATTCTCAAATAGAACCTCCTCGAACTCATTGAGCAGAGATGTCTATCTACAAAGCAGCGATAACTATGATAAGGTGAGAGCATCTTTGTGTTTGTTCTGTAAGTGTGATTGTTATTGACAAGGCTGCATCAGGAACATTGGAAAGGAGTCACCCCACGTCCTAAACTCCCTAACCAATAGAGATGGCAATAACAGCTTTATTGCACCCTTCCCTAGTTGTTCTGCAAAGTCTTCCTGAGATAGCTTCTGGAACATCTATGGTCTGCGTTGTAGAGTTTTCAGAATAGAATTTTGGTGGCTGACATTCCAGCTCTGCCAGATAAAAGTGAAAAATACTAACATAGGCCTGTTGTAGTATCCAACCCTATTCCCCATGCTTTCTCTTTTTGTGGATGTGGATTTGGGGGCCTGGCGGGCATCCAGTTAGTCATTAAGAGCCTTGCTAACCAGGGTTAAAGGAGGTTATTTGAGATTTTTCAGTCAGCCTCCAATATCCCAGCAACACATGGGAGCCATACAAACAGTTGGCATTCATGCAGTCTAAGATGCCAGTGCTCTAGGTAGGTTTACAGATCTTCCCTGCCTCCCTGTGTGTCAGTGACCATGCTGTCACTGGATTCCCTTCTCCTGACTCTCCTCTCCACCGCCTTCTGCCCCTCATCATGGTGGCCAGGTTGCTTTCTCTGTTTTATGTTTAGGTTTTAAAATCTTTGTTGAGAAGATGCTTCTATATTGAATCCCCCTGACAGTTACCTCTACTTTATTGCAGCCTGCTGCTTCTTTCAACCCTGAAGGTCTCCCATTGACCCATGTGCTTTGAAAGCCCACCAGGCACTCTGAATAGGACAGGAAACTTGGATCTGTGTCACTTAATAGGACTCCAGTATCAAAATTCCAAAATATTGGTTCACCTCTGTGGTGGCTTTCAAACCCAGGAACAGTCCCAAACTCTCCTTCCCAACTGCTATTCCCTCCATTCCACCAGCATTCCTATACTTTAAGTGAAAATGCGACTTTAAGTTTCTGACCCAGCAACAATGAAGGGTCACTGCAATACATTCCAAGTTAGAATGGTAGAGTTACCGCACACAACGAGAATCACCAGGTCCTGAGCCCATTCTTCATCTAGAACCTGTTTGGATGCAGCTTGTTCTTCACCCTCTTGGACCTCCTTGTAGTTGGCTGTTGAAAGAAGCTATGAAATAAAAACAGGCAGTTCTCCAAACCTTTAAAAGACTTGTTTGCTTCTTGCCCCCTTGCAGATAGGTCAAGGATTCTCAAATAGAACCTCCTCAAATTCATTGAATAGAGATGTACATCTACAGAGTAGTAACAAGCCCATCAAGGTAGGAGTATATTTGTATTGTTCCTGGTGTGTGATGCTGGCAATGTACCCTTGATGTCCCAACCCTAAATATCCTAAATATTTTGTACCTCCTCCTGGCTGCACTGAATGGTTTATGGTGGGGAATACCAGGTTTCTGACTCAATGACAATGAAGAAATGGCATGAAATAACTCCATGTCAGGATGTCATGTGACTTGAAGAAGACTTGGAGGTAATGGTTTTCTCATGGTATCGAAAGGTAAAGGTTGCAAGTCTGGAAACTGTGTGTTGATGAAGCTCTGTTCTTTGCTGAAGTGCACTTTCATAAATAGAGACAAAGAGTGTTATAGTCCAGAAAGCTAGTTGGTGAAGGATAGACTAGGCCATTCTTTACACACTTGTAGATGTATTTGCAGAATTGGACGTTTTAGAAAACACTAGAGTTTTAGACTGTGCTTTAGGGGCTCAAGTGAATCTCAAGTTCATGTCCACCACCTGCATTTATTTAAACACAATTGGTATATAACTAATGCAGTAAAAAAAGAGTTATATTAAATCTTTATAGATCACAAATATTGGAGTATTCTGTCCAGTACTGGACCCCACGCTTTGGGAAGGTATCAAGTGCTCAGTGAGGATGCGGGTTATAATGGTGCTAGGGTTGAAGGACTTAAATTACATATAAAAACTGGAGAAGATGGGATTGTTCTTTGTTTTATTCATTCACAAGATGTGGTTATTGCTCACTGGGCCATCATTTATTACCCATCTTTAACTGTCCTTGTGAAGGTGGTGGTGAGCTGCCTTCTTGAACCACAGCATTATTTGGAGAGTAAGTAGACCCACAACATTATTAGGGAGGGAATTCTAGGATTTTGACCCAGAGGCACCATATTAATGGCAATGTATTTCCAAGTCAGCATGAATGGCTTGGAGAGGATCTTGCTCCCCTTGTCCTTTTAGGTAGTGGTGATTGTGGCTGGAAAGTGTTCTCCTTGGAGCCAAGAAGATTTTGGGTGATTTAATAGAGGTGTTCAGATTGATGAATGGTTTGAATGGAGTTTAAAAGTAGAAGCTGTTTCCAGTGGGAGAAGGGTTGGTAACCAGAGAATGGAGACTTAATATAATTTGCTAAAGAGCCAGAGGTGAAGATGAGAATATGTTTAACACAGTGAGTTGTTCTGTGCTGAAACATGCTCCATAAAGTAGATTCATTAATATTTTCAAATGGAGCTGAATTAATATTTTCAAATAGAGCTGAATAAATATTTGAAAAGGAAAGATTTGCAGAGTGATTTGGAAAATGCAGTGGGCTGAGGCTTTTTGCATAGCTGTTTGAAAGAACCAGCATAGGCACAACGAGGCAAGTAGTCTCGTTCTGTGCTGTATGCGTCCTCATCCCTGTGCATGGAACAGTGAGGGTGCAGGGAAAGTATAGGTTGGGTGGAAAACAGGAACCAGTTTCTATTTCTTCCCTGATTGGAGTCAGATCTCCATTGTTGTCATTATATCGTAATCCCAAATGATGACTTTAACTCACTAAACTTGTTCATCACTCCCGTGCCGTAATAAATGTGCACTCCAAACACTCTGCATTGGTCCCTGTTTTGATCTCTTCTATTTTGGAACGAATCTTTATTCACATGCCATTTGTCCCAGTTAACCTTGATTCTCTGATGCTTAATCCTGGTTCCCTTCACTCTGTCAAATTAATTTAAACGCTCCCTTACAGCATAGTTAACCTCTGAGTGAGAGTTCCAACCTCCCACCTTGTGCACGTCTTGCCCACCCCAGGAATCTGCAACAATTTGTTCTGCACCTTATTTTCAACCAGCGTTAACCAGATGGATTTTGCAGTTCCGGCATTCACTGGTATGTGGCACTAAGAGTAATCTAGATATCACTGTTTTTGACGTCCTACTTTTCAGTTTCCTGCATGGACCTCATCATCTCTGTACTACCCTTCAACTTCCTGCAGAATACCCATCCACTTAATTTCATCCTGTGATCTGTTTTGGTTCAGGAAATGTTGTTTCTTCAGCAGAGCCTTGTCCTATCTTTCGTGTAACTCTGATTTCCCACAAATGTGAGCAGCTCTGCAGATGCACATGCATGCAGATGTTAATCAGCATGTGACATTGGAGACAATCCAGGGGTGTGACCAGCCCCTGAGCTCCTGTTTCTCAAATCTGGTATTCAACTGCTTAAACTCCTTCAATATTACTTCTGTCCACACCATTGGTCACCATGTGAAGCGTGATCTTTGGTCACTGTGCTCCTTTCTTTCCAGCCATTTTGTGAGGTCCTTCACCCATTAGGGCCTCTGCTAATTGGTGTATGGTTGCACTTCCCTCAAGGGGGTTCGAGTTGTATGGTAACATTATATGTCGTAGTCTCGAGCTATAGATTGTGATAGCTGAGGCTCCAGCTTTCTAGCCACCACGTGACTAACGAGAAATCTTTTTCGCATTTACCATGTGTTGGAAGGATTTGCTGATTAATATTCAACCTGTTTGGCCATGTTGACAACATTCCTTGGCCATCAAGACCTAGGGTAGGACATGAACTCAGGCGTTCTGGATCAGAGATAGGGAATCTACCCACTGTGCAACATTGCAACAGCGTAAAAAGCTGTCAACCGAAGTCTGTCTGATTGTTCAGTTTCCTCATGCACACATGTGCACATACAGACTGATACAGGAAGGTAGAGGGACACACAGACCGACTAGTTTCTAAGGTAAGAAGAATGTCCTATGCAAGGAGACTGAGTAAACTAGGACTATTTCCCTTGCAGTTTAGAAGAAAGAGGTGATCGAATTGAAATATGTAAAATTCTGAAAGTGCTTGGCAGGGTAGATGTTGAGAAAATGCTTCCCCTAGGTGGGCAATCAGGAACCCAAGGTCAAATCTCAGATTAAGGATTCAGCTGTTTAGGACTGAGATGAGAAATTTCTTCACTCGAAGAGCTGTGAATCTTTAAAATGCTTTGCCTCAGAGGATTGTGGACGTCAGTCTGGAGAGAAAGAGCAAAAGATTTGTGAGTATTAATGAAACCTCATGTTTGCTGACACTAGAACTCCAATAATGATTGCTGATTATTTCCGAATGTACATGCACACATGCATGCCTGCAATATTAAGCTGATTCTTAAAAATTAAGTTCTCCTCCTTAATTTAGCACTGTGTTTCCCTTACCCAGTATAATCCTTTATCAGACTTATTATTTATGGGTATTTGCCACTCTTTGTTGAAATATATTTGAGAATTGTTGCTGTTAGTGCCTGCACCTAGGCAGTCTTAATGAAATTATAGGATGTGAGGATAGTGTTGGAAGGTGCTGTTGAATTTGAAGAGGAGCCATCATCATGATGAGGATCAGAGGAAACTTGAGTGGCCAAATGCTTCCAGGGTTTTTGTCTAAATAGTGAGTGGCTACAAACTGGAATAGGGATGCACATTCAGTACACACTTGCAAAAGGGAATTGGATACATTTTTGAAGGACAGCAAATTGAAGAATTACACAGAAAAAGTGGGAGAGGTGGCTATATGTTGGATAGCTGTTTCAAAGAGCCAGCATCATCACAATTGTCTGAATTGTCTCCTTTGTGCTGTATCACTCTCTATTTGCCATGAGATAGCAGAAATCTGTGAACGTTGTTTAAACCGTTAAGTATTTCAACCATGTTTCATTATATTCCTTTATGCTGTATTTTTTGAGTGTGTGAAGATATTTGGTCTTACTTCATAGTTCACCCTTTTAACAGAATTGGCCTCACTGATCTCCTATAATGACGTTACCTATGGAAGTGGCCCATGTGTAGCGTATCCTGACCGATACTTACTTTTCCTGTCCTGAGCCTGTACAGTTTCATCCTATTTATGAATGTTTGAATTACAGAGTCCTGGGAAAATAACACCCTCTTCCCGTCTTCGCTGTTACTGACTTCAGGGATCTTTATCAGAGAGTCTCCATTCACACTTCTAGCTCCTGATGCTCAATGTTATGACAGTTAAGATTGTTTTAAGAGGTTTTGTTGTGTAATAATGTTGCTGCATTCAGCCAATTGGAAGTCAGAGCTGTCACCAGAATACCAGCTAAATGGAGGCCAACCATGATTGTGAGCTTTACCAATTTGTCCTACCTTCCACTGCCACCTTTCTGTAACAGAAACTTGCATGCAGTGTTTTTTTTTTAAAAAAGAAACAAATCTGCAGAATCAGTTGATGATATTTAACAATTTATTTTAATGCAAATTTGTAAATTCTCTGAAAATCCCACCCTACACTTTAGATGCCCCTCTGTTTCAGATAGTTGGCCACTTCATGGACCTTCTTATTGAGCGCTCCACCATGAACACCCTTTTTGCCCATCACAAACACCATGGTCTTGATGGTTTTGCCGATGCAGATGCTCTTGCCTTGACCGCCCTTCATCCTCACGTCCATCACTCCATCATTGTTGACCATGAGGTTGTCCCTGATGACGGAACATTTCTTTCCCCCGATGGTGATGCCAGTTTGTAAGAAAGCCTTGCGATCCTGTCCTGTTAACATGCTGACCTCCTGTGGGGAGATGGCAGCCAGCACACCTCCGGGCTTAGAAGCCCAGACGGACTTGTTGTCAGCATGGCCCACAATGGCAGCATCTTCCACATTCTTATCCTTCAATATACTATTGATGTAATTCTTCCAGTCCGACATCCTCTCCTTCAATCGAAGATTGTTTTCAAGCACAAACTAGTATCAGTCCTGTCTCACCAGCGGCAACGTGATACTGTGAGAGGATTGCACAGTCCTTGGGCTTTGTGACATCAGTGAGTGATGTCACATCCTGCATGACATGCCCTTGACATCACTGCAGAATGACATCACTCTTTATGAGTTCATATCTTGTGTTCTCCTGGTGGTTAACATCTTTGTGATTCAGCAATGATCGTAGCATTTGAAGATTCATTCTGTTCCTTGAGGAGCCTTTTAATTAGTAAAATTCTTCCCCCTTCCATCCTAGGAACATAGGTTT